GAATTACAACCATTATTTTTATGGCCTCTTTCTAGCTTTTTGTGCCCGCCACGACACATTGCAAGCTCCAGTTCTTGCGCTAGATCGTTGTTGCGAGCATCAAAGCGCTGCAGCTCTGCCAGTGTGATCCACTCAAATAGTGGCACAATAATCAGCGCGCCCTGAGTCGGAAGAGCACCTTGTCGAGCAAATCTTACAGCACTTTGTGGAGTGGGGAAGCACTGATACACATTCATTATTATTGACTCAAGATTTGCTGGTCGCGGTGATTGGAGTGAGACGCGCATGCACGCAAAGCGCTGGCTCGTAACACGTTGCAAGTGTGCGGCACTGAACTGTGCGGTTCTTTCTTCTCCTTTAACATTGAATTGGTTTCTCAGATTCATTATCATCTCGTCCTTTCGGTAAATAGCAAAGCAACTGCAATCTCGACCATATACCAGTTCTGGTATCGTTTCCACTGCGCATATTTGTCCAAAGAAGTCAAGGGCTTCATCGACAGAACAAACTTTGCCAAACACTCGAAATCGAGTGTACTCTGATTGGCCTCCTGCGCCCACAGCTGCAGCCGCCTTTCGAAGCTGGTCTGCAGCAGATTGTGACATTTTAAATGGGTTGCTCGAAGAAAATAGCAAAGACATCCCTCTGGATGCAGATCGAGTAATCGTTTCTTTCATAAACCCTAGCACGGCGAAAGGCTGATTTACGCCATGTACGGGATCCCACATGGCTGTCGCCGATGAAAAAGAAGCTGCGTCTTTCAACTTAGCATCGCTCCCAGCAAATTCGTTTCTCTCTGCACGAACTTGGTCACAGAAATTTAAATCACCACAGTATTCATTTGTACTCGCAACTGCACCTTTTTTTATTGCTTTGATCGAAACGGCAGTCTTCGGCAATGCTACTGAAGAGTTGCTTGTATCAATAATACTTGGAACTTTATAACCAGCTTGACTTTCAAGTGCATTTTTGACATTTTTTATGTTATCCTTCTGGGCATCATTATAGACCTTATTCGTTAAACGCACCATTTTTGGTGCACGCATTTTCATTTTCCCTTTCTGACGTTTAAGCAAAAGGGAGCATGAATCAATTAAAGTGCAAGGGTCGGCACGTGTCAATAGCGGTGCTGAGTGCGATTTCGTCATCATAGAGAAACCACGAGAGCCAGGCTGTACAGAAGCAGACCCAAATATGTTGTTTTGGTATCCAGTCATAACACCGGTAATAAAAGCTTTTTTGTAATTCTCCCACGCCACTGTTTTCAGTGCACGACTTCGAATAGATTCACGAGCGTATCCCAAGGATAAACGTTGCAAGCTTTCGCGAGCTTCTGCCGACATGAGGTGAAAGATGTCAAATCGTGACAAGACAAGAATCTTCATCGGTGACTCCGCTAAGATGGAAT